AATGCTCAGTGCCTTCTTTGAGGAAAGGTCTTTAATTTCCACGCTAATGAGCCAGACACTGACTCCCTCTCACCCCACCCCTTAAATGCAAATGCAGAGCTTCCACATGAAACGGGGAGCAGAAGGCACACATTAGCCCATCCATTGTAAAGCCTCTAATTGAGGCCAATTACTTAAACCAGCCCCAGTTCATTTCTAGCTGAAAACCCACCACTGTGTGTTGGCCACAGCCCGGGACTGATGAAGCAATCAGGAGGAAAAACAGATATGATAGGTGTGCAGTCTTACAAAGGGTTGAGAGAGGAGGGTGGAGAAAGCAAGACAGTGGACGGGAGATGTTCATCACTGTCTACAGGCTTTGTGCCGGGCCTTGTGTTGAATATTGTGCAGGTTTCTCCAGGGAGGGAGCAGAAGATCATCACCCAGCACCCCCTGCAACAGAAATACCTCAAACAAACCAGAGAAATACCTCCAACCAACTCACAAAACCACTCGCCATGCACGTGGACTGCCAACCAGTAACCTGCTTGGAGAAGCTTCGTTTGCTTCCGGCCGTGGAGAGATTGGCCATGTCCAAGCTGAAGTCACTACTTTGAGTTTCTTCCAAAGTTTTCAACCCTTGAGGTGCCATAATGGTGCTGGAATCTGGGCAGAGAAGGAGAAGCGGACCCTTCTAGCACTGTGTCACCTGGGCTCCACAGCTGAAATCCTTCTATCAGCTTCTGCTAGTAGGAACCACCCCCCCGGAAGGCCTCGAAGCGGCACCTGGACATGGACCTCCCACAGTCCATCCTTCTCCATTATTCTCTTTGCCAGGCCCCTCCCTTCTTCCACTTTCCCCTTCACTGGTACTGAAATGAAAGCTCCCACGTTTATGAATGGAGACAGATAGATGGTGGGAAGGAGGAGCAAAGAGGAGGGGAAGCATTGTTTAAATAAACTAGCAGCAGGGGTTCAAAATTCCCAGTTGAGGGTAGATTTCCTCATTTAGTCTTCAGTTCTTAATCCTATCCTGATAGATATTATTTTATCCATTTTACAGATGAAGAAACTGAGGCTAGGAGCCCATAACTCGTTAGTGGCACTTTCTGACCTACAGCTGTGTTCTTTCCACTCTAGCAAATTGCCTCCATTTGCACTGGATTTGAAGAATGTTGATCTTCTGTCTGGACTGGGAAAGCTGCAGACACAGCACAGGGGGAATGTAGCACAGAGCTTCTGAAGCTTTTCAGAGAGCACAGACCTGCCTGTTGCCCTGCGGTGGCAGTCTGGGCCGACACACGACATGTTTACTCTGAGGCCATAACTCTCAGACTGATTTAGATAGTGGAAAGTGTTTTCCCAAGACAAGCAATGCGTTTTCAAAATGAGTTGCCATCTTGCTGTCTATTCTGCATGGTATTTTATATCTATCTTTGATAACAGAATGTTACAATTAAGGTGAAATCCACATGTGCAAACCTAACAATTTTTTGGCATTTCCCATTCATCTTAGCACATTTTGGCTGAAAGCAGATGAGTGCCTCACCCCATCCGAACACACACACACTCACACGCTTAAACACACACACAAACACACTTAGTCGTGGAGACTTGGAATGATCCCATCTGGCTTAGCTTCTCTCTCTCTCTTTTTTTTTTTTGTATGAGGAAGATCAGCCCTGAGCTAACATCTATGCCAATCCTCCTCTTTTTTTTCCTCCCCCGCTGAGGAAGATCGGCCTGGGGCTAACATCCGTGCCCATCTTCCTCTACTTTATATGGGATGCGCCGCAGCATGGCTTGACAAGCGGTGCGTCAGTGCGCGCCCAGGATCCGAACCGGCGAACCCCAGGCCGCCAAAACGGAGCATGCGCACTTAACCGCTGCGCCACCTGGCTGGCCCCTTAGCTTCTCTCTTTTGATTCTAGCCTGTGATTATCTCGCCATTCACTTAATTTTGCTTTCTTTGTCTCCTGGAAATGATATTCATTCTTTGAGTGAAGGCATAATGGACAGAGAACTGGCCTTGAAGCTAGAAGATGCAGGCCTTCGTCCTGATATACTGCTTAGTACCTGCGTGACCAGACCAAAAAAGATCTCAAGTTATGAAGTCGGACAGATTATAAGTCCATGACTCTGAGACTTCCAGCTGTGCGATTGCAGGCAAATTATTTAACCTCTCTGAAACTCAATATCTTCATCTTTAAAACAGCACTGGTATTACCAGCCTTGCGAGATCACTGTGAAGATGAAACAGCATGACACATAAAGGCAGGCACTGGGCCTGGTACTCTGTACATCTTGCTTCCGTTTCCCACCTTAATCACTGTGCTTCTGACTCTCAGGATTCTCTTCTGGATAATGATATTTATCTCCCAAGATTATTTTGAGGATTAAATGAGAAAATATACCTGAACGTATTATGAAATAGTAAACTATGTTTAGTTGATTCTTTTGCTAATTCACTCAATTGACCAATGTTTCTTATTAGATTCAGTGTTAAGTGATATGGGTGATTATAAAGAAGAATCAGATGCAGAACTCACCCTGAAGAAACTTTCATTCTCCAGATATACTCCACTCTCCCAGAAAAAGATAATATGGCGCAAACACGAAAAGTGCTGTTAATGTGTCTATAAGGTTCAAAGATAACAAGGAGATACCTTCCAGATGGGGCCGTCAGCCCAGGCTCCATGACGTGCCTGCTATTTGAGAAGACGCTTGGTGGAAGGGTAGGAGATAATGGATGAGGGTAGTTCAGGTGGAAGGTCCAGCATGAGCACGGTCACAGCAGTGAGAAGGTGTGAGGAAAGTAACGCGAACCTGACTCCAATGTAGGGGATAATTAGCGAGTTGTGGTTGATGAGGTTGCACAGATGGGTTGGGACCCATTTATGGAGGAATTTGGACTTCTAATTTGATAGACAATGGAGGAGCCACTGAAGGTTTCTGAGCAGGAGAGCGATGTTGTCAGAGGCAGTTTTCTTGAAGATGAACCCAGCAGTAATATACAGGGAGGTTTGGAGTGAAGAGAAACAGGCCTGCTAGGATCTGTTATGATAATTTCAGAGAGAGCCAAGGCCTTGAAATTGATCAAAGGCAGTGAGAATGAGAAAATATTACAGAGGAAGTATGGTGGAATTGAAGAGACCATGTTGGGAGTGGAGGGTGAGAGAGGTGAGTAGAGGTTAAGGAGGAGTCCCAAATGCCACTGAGGTCTTGGGTGAGGAGAAAAGGCATCAAGGAAATCTCAGAAGGAGCTGGTCTAGGAAGGAAGACAATATTGCCTATATGTAAAAAGAAGAAAGTTAATTCATCAGAATTCAGGGGTCAGGGGAAGACAGACCAGCCTTTCTGTGGAGCAGCACTCCTCAACCTTGTCTCTGTTGACAATTTGGGCCAGACAATTCTTGGTTGTGGGGACCGTCCTGTGCATTGTAGGATGTTTATCAGCATCCCTGGCCCCTTACCCACTAGACGCCAGTAGCATAACCTCCAAAGTTGTGGCAACTATAAATGTCTCTCGTGATTGCCAAATGTCCCTTGAGGGCAAAATCACCCCCAGTTGAAACCACTATTGTAGGACGAGGCCTGCTCCCCATGAGGAAAGCTGTAGAAACGGCAGAGGAAAACCTGAGCTACACTCCCCAGGGGGCTCTGTGGACCTGTGTCAGGAACTTCGACTGTGGGTGGGACAGGGAAGGAGGGAGATGGCTAGGGAGTTGGTGGAAAGCAGTGGGTTCCAGATCTGCCACTCTGAGCTGCCCCAAGGGCCTCCAGATAGGACATCCACTTCTTCAGTAAAAGTGTTATGAAATGCCAGTCATGACTGGATTGCTCGTGGAAAAACGAGGAAGAGCCGAGTTTTCCAAATGCGTCAGAAGGAGAACCGAGGCCAATGGGACCCAGGAGTCTAAACAGAGAGAGGAAGAAGGAAGAGAGACATAGAAATCAGGGGTTTGAGGGGCTTTCCAGGATCCAGAATTGGTGTTCACTTCTGACAAATTTTATCTAAATCTCTGAGGAAATGGAGGCAATAATACCTGGGTGCCTTATTAAAATCTCCACATTGAAATCAGATATGCATTTCTTAAGCATACAAGTTATTCATTACATTTTTTATAACTTTATTTGAGATTAATAATGTAACTACTGGCCAATCCTGCTAAGATAGAATCTAAATATTCCCAAAGATATCAAGACAGCTGTAGATCCTTGGGCAAGTTAGTTAACTTCTCTGGACCTTTGTTTCTTCAACTGAAAAATGAAATTAATCATTTCCATCTCATAGGCTTGCTATGAGGATTAGATAAAATAAGGCATATGAAATGCCTGCCACATAGGAGGTGTTCAATTATTCTCTGTCTATCCTTCTATCCATCTGTCCATCTCTAATTAGTTTATGAATATGCCTGGAAAAGTAAGAGATTGCATGTAGGTATAGCCATCAGTCCAGAGGTGTGGCTGTTATTATAATTCTAGAGAATGCTTCTGGAGATGTCCATTTAAGACATCTGGTCCCCTCAAGACACAAATATGCTGAATCTTAATGATATCCAAAATCTGGATGAAAAGTGGAAAGTCCATTCAATTACCCACATTTCTCAGGTTCCCGATGTTTGGCAATATGTTGTAGAACCTTTGGGTAACTGCTAGTATTTCCTACATTTTTCTGGCTGTTTACAGCAGAGCTGATGTACCAGTACTAGCCTTCTTTCAGTTTTGCAAAACAGATTGATCTAACCTCAGAAGTTCCAAGAGCCACTCAAAAAGACGATTAATTCTGGAACTGCATCTCAGTTTGGCTTTTGCCTCCATCTGAAAATAAGATCCCTTTGCTAAGCTGGTATTGGTTAAATATCCTTTCCTCAACCATGTAGATAGTGTTTTTCAAAAAAGTCTGAAGGACAGTAGCCTTTGGTGTCTGAGATTTTAGGGTGTTTGGCTAATCAATACCCTAGTAATTAATTAACCACATCTGAATGAGAACCAAGTGAGTTCTGTTAGTTTCAAACTTTAGTTAGATCTTACAGGTCCCGGCCTGCAGACATCTTTTACTTCAACCCCTGACTAGACAGGTTTATCCCTTCTGGGTAATATAGGGTGGTGGCTTCTGGAGGAGATGTTTGCTGTTGCTGTCTTCATCTTGTCTTTGATGACTTGTCAGCCTGGGGTAACCATACAGGAGGATGTGATCTGGTGAGTCGGTCACAGTTTCTATAAAATTTGCACACAGGGATCACCTGGTGGGAAACCAAGACACTTTCATGTTTGTAGCTGGCTATTTTAGGATGGAATGTGACCTCTTTTCGTGCTATTACTAATCCATTGAAGGAGTAGCTGACCATGAAAAGAGCATGCACCTGGAGTCAGGTGGGCCTGGGAGTAAATCACAGCTCTAATACTCAAGGAGCTGGGTAATCTGGAGTAAATCACTTAATTTCTTTGAGCTTCAGTTTCCTTACCTGTAAAATGAGAATAATAATGCCTCTTCTATAAGAGTTAATGTATATGAAATAAGATCCTGGATATAAAATATACTCAGCTTAATAAATGATAGTTCTCTTGAGGAATGCTCAAGTAGTTAACCTCTGCTTATCTGTTTGTGAATCATAAGAATACCTGTCTCATAGTGTTTTGGGGAAGATAAAATTAGATAACGTATACAAAATCATCTTGAGAAAGGCAAGAGATTGTAGAGTTGCTGGGTCATTTCATTCTGGAAACGACTTTACCTTTTGCTATGGGGTAATGAATGGACGTGATATTTTTATATGTACGTTGCATTTTACCCATTCCATTTCCTTAAGTATTCCAAACTGGCTTCATGTTTCTTATATCTTAATGTCAAGTATTTTGTGGCACTTAGCCCCTTATTTCGCCTGTAGGGTAGTTTTAAAGCAGCCCCTGTCTCCCAAACATTAAAGATTTTAAGTAGATTTATTTTATTCAAATTCTTATTGGATAATTCAACTTTGAATCGTTATTGCTTTTAAATGCTAGAGCAAGAGAGATTTCCTTTAAGTAACTGTTCAAGGGCCGGCCCCATGGCTTGGCGGTTAAGTGCATGCGCTCTGCTACTGACGGCCCGGGTTCCGATCCCGGCGCGCACCGACGCGCCACTTCTCCAGCCATGCTGAGGCGGCGTCCCACATACAGCAATTAGAAGGATGTGCAACTATGACATACAACTATCTACTGGGGCTTTGGCGAAAAAAAGGAGGAGGATTGGCAGTGGATGTTAGCTCAGCATTTTTGCTGAGTCTTCCTCAGCAAAAAGAGGAGTGTTGGCATGGTTGTTAGCTCAGGGCTGATCTTCCTCAAAAAAAAAAAAAGAAAAAGAAAAAGAAAAAATAAAAATGTAACCATTCAGAAGAGGGAAAGACATTTTTATAAGCAGTTCATTTGCAACTTGTATTTAAAGCAAATACAATTTTGAAAAATCAGAAAATTCATCTCTAATAATTAGAAGATAAAGGCAAGAGAACTGTGGTAAAGGAAATCTCTGCTGAGAGACTCTTAATTATAAAAGCTATCATTGTAATCCTTTTTGAAAATGAACAAAGAGTCTTGATGTTTGATGAACTTATCAAATAAGACAGACCAGTGAAGAGGCAAATTTGAAGTTAAGGCAAAAGAGAGCCAATTAAGTACTTTACAAAGTGCTGAAGTGGGAAACCACAAGATCTTTGTATCTAATGCCAGAGTGCCTGACCCTGGGCTTTGAAAATGGAAAATGATGTGGTGAAATCATGTCACTGGGTTCACATTCTGGCACTGGCATTTAATATTTGTGTGATCTCAGGCAAGTTATTTAAGTTGTCTGAGCTGTAAAATGGGAGAAAAGTAAGAGGAAGAATTAAAATGCCTGAAAATACTTTAAAAAATGCGGGGTACTTAGCAAGCATTCAGTGAAAGTTGTTGCCGGTGGTATTGTGTGATTGTTATCATCATTTTTTGGTATTTCCATTCTCTCTGATGGTTGACAAAAATTAGAACAAATTTATAATATGCTGATTGACATGGATTTTCTAGACTGATCAGTGATCTGAAACTTTTAAAAAATTTAACAATGGCACTCTTTTTTCCCAAACAAAATCTTATATGAATCCTAACGTTGAAAACAGATGATATACATTTACATTTTTAATGGTATACATTCATTTTTATAAGCTCATGTTTACCATTTGCTTATTGTAAAGTCTTAATAGAAAAATGGGGTTGAGAAAAACATTTTAAAACAATAGTGATGAAAGAAAGTTATAAACTTCAGCCTCAAAAATCAATGGATCTTTATTATATATTTTATACAAATAATGCATTTTAGCATACGTGTAGATTTAATAAGTTTAACAATTTTTCAATCCTTTTTATTTATTGAGATTTGTTTTATGATAAGAATATAATTTATCTTAATGAGTATTCCATGTGCACTCAAAAGTATTCTTCTTTTGTTGGGTATAGTTCTTAAGTCGTTAAGTCAAGTTGATTGTTAATGTTGCTCAAGTTTTCATCTCCTTGTTCTATCAATTACTGAGGGAGAGATGTTGCAATCTCCAACTGTATTTGTGGATTTGTCTATTTCTCCTTTCAGTTCTGACAGTTTTTGCTTCATGTATTTTGAAGCTCTATTATGTCCTCTTGATTACATATTCCTTTGTCATTATAAAAGGCTTTCATTGTCTCTGGCAGTTATGTTTGTTCTGTAGTCTATTATTAATACAGCTATTCTTGCTTTCTCGTGATTAGTGTTTGCATGGTGAGTTTTTTCCAAATATTTTATTTTAACTTATCTGACGCTTCATATTTCATGTGGGTAGCACATAGATGAGTCTTGCTTTATTATCTCGTCTGACAATCTCTGTCTTTTAATCATAGTATTTATACCACTTATATAAATATAATTACTGATATGCTTGGATTTGAGTCTCCTATCTTTCTATTTGTTTTCTACTTGTCCCATCTGTTCTTTGTTTCTGTTTTTCTCCTTTTTTATCATCTGTTAGATTTAATATTTTTTCTAATTTCAAATGATTTATTGGCTATTCTACTTTATTATTATTATTTTTTGTTTGTTACTCTAAGATTTGCAATATACATCATTTACTTATCATAGCCTACCTTTAAATAATATCATATCATTTTTGTTCTGCCCAAATAACTTCCTTTGACATTTCTTGTAGTGCAGAATAAATTTTTTTATTGTTATTATTTTATTGAGGTCATAATAGTTTATAACATTGTGAAATTTCAGTTGTACATTACTATTTGTCAGTCACCATATATATGTGCTCCTTTACACCTTAAGCCCACCCCACAACCTCCTTCCCCTGTAGTAACCACTATTCTGTTCTCTTTGTCCTTGTGTTTATCTTCCACATATGAGTGAAATCATGTGGTGTTTGTCTTTCTCTGTCTAGCTTATTTCGCTTAACATGACACCCACAAGGTCCATCCGTGTTGTTGCAAATGGGACAATTTTGTCTTTTTTATGGCTGAGTAGTATTCCCTTGTATATATATATACCACATCTGCTTTATCCATTCAGCAGTTGATGGGCACTTGGGTTACTTCCACAGCTTGGCTATTGTGAATAATGCTGCAATGAACATAGGGGTGCATAAGTCTCTTTGAATTATTGATTTCAAGTTCTTTGGATAAGTTATCCAGAGTTGGATATCTGGGTCGTATGGTATTTATATTTTTAATTTTTTAAGAAATCTCCATACTGTTTTCCATAATGGCTGTACCAGTTTGCATTCCCACCAGCAGTGTATGAGGGTTCCCTTTTCTCCACATCCTCTCCAACATTTGTTATTTTTTGTCTTGGTAATTATAGCCATTCTAATAGATGTAAGGTGACATCTCATTGTAGTTTCAATTTGCATTTCCCTAAGATTAGTGATGTCAAACATCTTTTCATGTGCCTGTTGGCCATCTGTATATCTTCTTTGGAAAAATGTCTGTTCATATCCTCTGCCCATGTTTTGATTGGGTTTTTTGTTGTTGAGTTGTATGAACTCTTTATATATTTTGGAGATTAACCCCTTATTGGATATATGATTTGCAAATATTTTCTCCCAGTTGATGAGTTGTCTTTTTATTTTGTTCATGGTTTCCTTTGCCTTGCAGAAGCTCTTTAGTCTGATGTAGTCCCATTTGTTTATTTTTTCTTTTGTTTCCCTTGCCTGAATATACATGATATTGGAAAAGATTTGTCTAAGACTTATATCAGAGTGTGCTGCCTATATTTTCTTCTAGGAGTTTTATAGTTTCATGTCTTCCATTCAAGTCTTTTTGAGTCAATTTTTGTGTATGGCATAAAATAATGGTCTACTTTCATTCTTTTGCATCTGGCTGTCCAGTTTTCCCAACACCATTTATTGAAGACACTTTCCTTTCTCCATTGTATGTTCTTGGCTCCTTTGTCAAAGATTAGCTGTCTGTAGATGTGTGGTTTTATTTCTGGGCTTTCAATTCTGTTCCATTGATCTGTGTGTCTGTTTTTGTACCAGTACCACGCTGTTTTGATTACCATAGCTTTGTAGTGTATTTTGAAGTCAGAGATTGTGATGCCTCCAGCTTTGTTCATTTTCTCAGGATTGCTTTCGCTATTTGAGGTCTTTTGTTGCCCTATATAAATTTTTTTTTAAAGATTTTATTTATTTATTTTTTTCCCACCAAAGCCCCAGTAGATAGTTGTATGTCATAGCTGCACATCCTTCTAGTTGCTGTATGTGGGACGCGGCCTCAGCATGGCCCGAGAAGTGGTGCATCAGCACGCGCCTGGGATCCAAACCCGAGCCGCCAGCAGTGGAGCGCGCGCACTCGACCGCTAAGCCACGGGGCCGGCCCTGCCCTATATAAATTTTAAGATTCTTTGTTCTATTTCCGTGAAGAATGTCATTGGGATTCTGATTGGGATTGCATTGAATCGGTAGATTGCTTTAGGTAGCATGGACATTTTAACTATGCTTCTTCTTCCAATCCATTTGCATGGAAAATCTTTCCATTTTTTTATGTCATCATCAATTTATTTCAATAATGCCTTATAGTTTTCATTATATAGGTCTTTCACCTCCTTGGTCAAATTTATTCCTAGATATTTTATTCTTTTTGTTACAATTGTAAATGGGATTGTCTTCTTGAGTTCTCTTTCTGTTAGTTCATTGCTGGTATATAGAAATGCAACTGATTTC